TTATATTATATTATATTATATTTAAAAAAAGTAACAAATATTCTATAAAAACAATTGTACATGTAAATTTAAACACCCTGAAATATTATGACAATACCTAAATTTACTGATTCATCCAAATTTAAATATAGTGTAAGTTATAATTTTTTAATTTAAATAACATTAAAAAAAAAGTTCTTAAATGTAATTATTTTGCCAATGAACACTGCCAACATCTGAAACAAAATAATCAGCCAACTTATTTCTCGTTTGAATATACTGGTTATTTGTACTTGTTCCTCCATCTTGTTCTGCGTCACAAATCCTGTAACACTCATGGCATCTTGTATGTTGATTCCATCTCTAAGTCTAAAATAGTTATGAAGTGAACAACATGTTTTTACCACTTGAATGGCTAAATCCAAATTAGCATTTATGGKCTTATGAAATATTTTCCATTTATTTGACATTATACCAAACCCACTTTCAACATRCCTCCTAGCTCTGGAAAGTCTGTAATTAAAAACCCTTTTCTTATGAGACAAAACTTTTCCACTGTATGGTCTCATGATGTTCGACGAAAGGGAAAAAGCTTCATCACCAATWAATGTGTAAGGCATATTTATATGAGTACCTGGAAGGGGTCGGCTTTTTGGAATGTTTAGTGTAATATTTTCAAGTGCCTTATAAAAATTTGTCTTTTCAAAAATCGTACTATCAGATTCTTTACCGAAAGCGCCAACGTCAATATAAATAAACTTGTAGTTTACATCTACGATGCCGAGCAAAACACTTGAAAAATAATTTATATAATTATAAAAAAGTGACCCACTCATCTTCGGTTTACGAATTCTAMCGTGTTTGCCATCGATTGCCCCTAAGCAATTGGGAAACTGACTGTAGTAGTACTTCCCATATAACACCACAAACTCTTCCCAAAATTTTTCCAATAKTTGAGTGTCCYATCCTATAAGTTAAATGTAGATCTTCCTGATCACAACCACTTCCCAAGTACCTGTAATGAAATTACAACTCATATAATTATACTCATATATTTTATATTCTGAGCGGAGCGATGAATGTATTGATTTTACCATGATGTGTGTTTTTTTTTTTTTTT